CTTAACCAAACATCTTAAAATCAAGTAAACCAAACAAAATTCAGTTTTTGTATAATTTTTTTATCAGTTTCCATTTGTGTTGTATTTTTATTTTCTACTGAACAAAACAAAATCTTCTTCCATTGTAAAATAAATCCATTAAATCCCCACCTGAATCACCATAAAAATTCTTATGTAAACATTTTAATGGGTTTATTTTACAACAGAAGAAAATTCTATTTTATTTATTTGAAAACAAAAATACATCACCAATGGAAACTGATAAAAAAATATACAAAAAATTGAACTTTGGTTTGGTTTAACTGATTTTAAGATGTTTAGTTAGAAATAAACCAATTAAAATCATCGTAGGTGGGTAATTAAGTTTTGAAGTATTAATTTGGGGAGAAATAGATTTACAATTTTCAATTCGTGGGGATCTAGCATGAGGTCATAGTTCGGTGGGGATCTGATGCTATATGGTAGTTCACGTGGGTAAATAGATCGTCTACCCTTTGATTTTTTTAGTAGTTTTCTCTTATACATTATAACAAAGCCGATATGTTAGATAAGCTTAGTTTACAACAAGTAACAAGTTCGACCACCAAACTAGTGATCTACGTCTCCGCAGAAACTCTCCCTGCGGGATTTAGCTATCTCAAAAGCAAAGCTTAATGTTTTAATATTTTACTAAAATAAATAAATATATATATATACTCGTCGGAACAACAACAAAAGTTCGTGGTTTATATTGTTACTCAATTGTTGATATGTCATTTGTTGGATAAGATTGGAGAGCAAGCAACATAGTTATATTGAGTTATAGAATATAAAACTATCTATTTGTTTATTTTACCTAATGAATTTAGGAAGTTTGTGTGACAATATATGGAGATGCATGTGTGTTGCATAACATATGAGTTTTGAGAGACTTATGTTCTTAAGTTTTGAGTATTTTCTTAAGCTAATATACGTGAGCTCTTATAAATCTTTTGAGTTCATACGATTGAGATCGATCAAGATTTGGTATTAGAGCCAAACATGAGTGAGATAACAACAATAGAAGCAAGAGCTTTAGCTTGGAAAAAAGAAGGAGGATCCTCCTCCATCAGCTGTCCGATGTTAACCTCATGCAACTACACGGTGTGGGCAATTTGAATGAAGATATTGCTAAAAATACATAAGGCGTGGGATGTGACTGAAGAAGAGAGCACAGAGGCTGAGAAGAATGATATGGCAATAGGCTTAATATCTCAATCAATCTCCAAGGCCCTGCTTTTGCAACTAGGAGAACTATATAGTGCAAAAAAAGTTTGGGAATCCATCAAATAAAAGAAGCTCGACTGCAAACCCTAATGTTTGGATTTGAGCGATTAAAGATGAAGGATGCTGATACAATTGATACCTTTGCTGAAAAAATATCAGATATAGCCTCTAATCCTCTGCTTTGGGAGAAATCATAGACGAAACAAAGCTGGTGAAAATATTTTTTACTTCTCTTCCACGTAAGAAGTTTATACATATAGTAGTTTCCATTGAGCAGATGCTAGACTAAAAACTACCAGTTTTGAAGACATCATTAGACGTCTTAAGTTCTATGAAGAAAGAGTGAACGAAGATAAAGAAGAAACTCAAGAGAATCAAACCAAGCTTCTATATACTAAAACTGAAAATCAACAATCACAGTTTCAACGAAACTATAAGGAGACTACATTAACAGAGGTAGAGGAGGAGGATGCTACTATAATAGAGGAAGGGGACGAGGAAGGACATACAGAGACATTGATATGTCTAGCATCACCTGTTTCAGATGTCATGAACAAGGCCACTTTGTTCAGGACTGTTCAGATAGGCTACTAAAACTGCAAGAAACCTGCGAGATCAAAGATGATGATACACATGAAGCACATGGTTTACTTATGCATGAAGTAGTCTATCTCAATGAACAGATTTTAAAGCCACAAGAGTTTGATTCAGGTATGGATAGTGACATGATCTGGTACTTGGATAATGGGGCTAGCAATCATATGACAGGAAATAAAACCTATTTCAAATCCATTGATGAAATTGTTTTGGGAAAGAATCATTTTAGAGACGATTCCCGCATTGATATCAAAGAAAAAGGGTCCATCTTGTTTGTGAGTGAGAACGGAAGCAACAAAGTACTAGCAGACGTATACTACATAACTGACCTCAAGAGTAATATTTTTTGGGGACAAAAACGATAATCTCGAAATCAACGTCTATGATTACTTCTCCTTATATTCTCCGAAAGGATCTCGGGTCGGGAAGAAAAGAAACGACCGAAACAAGACACCCAACCAGCTCGCCAAGACGGAAAACTAGATGGATCAGCCCAGCTCGCCGGCTTGGCGAGCTGACCACGACCAATCAGCTTGCCCAGCCGGTGAGATGGCCGTGCTTGACCAGCTCGCCGGCTGGGCAAGCTGAAGCGTCCCGTCCCGCTTGCCCAGCCGGCAAGCTGGACGTACTTCACCAGCTCACCGGCTGGGCGTGATGAACCAGCTCACCGGCTGGGCAACTATCATGGAACGATCCCGTCTAAAATCGTAAAACGGCTGTCGCAAAAAGGCCCGAAAAGTCCTAAAACGCGATAAAGGTCCACTCAAGACTTTAGAAGAGATCCAGCCCAAAGATATGATAAAGGTTTACTCATTATTCGCAGGAAAGGACAAATTTCAAGTTTGAAAACAAAATAGAAGTTTTCCAAGGAAAAATGGGAAGATCGAGATAAATGGAAGATTTCCGATAAATGCGAACCTGGGCGGAAAAGAAAAGACCAACCGCCGAGAGGAGGAGTATATAAGCACAAGGTCAAAGTCAAGAGAGGCAGAATTTTTTTAGACCTAGAGAGACTGCTGTTAGCTTAGACGAATTTAGGACTTAGACAACCCGCAATGCTGGATGTTAACTGATTCTTAGCACAAATACTTAGTGGGGGTTATTGGTTCTATCATTTTATAGATTCAGAAATCCTTTTTGGATTTTGCAATTTTTGACAAATCCACACATTTTAGAATCAAATAAGTAGATTTTAGAATCAATGAAATAGATTTCAAAAACAAAATAATTGAATTATTATAAATCTATCAAATGGATTTGTGATAAGCTTAACTTTGTAACAAAATAAAATATATATAAAACTACAACATATGTTTTATCATTTTCTATATCATATGTTATCATGGTAACATAAAATTCATCACATATTTGTTGTTATTGTCATTCTCACTTGATTGGCATGTTCTCTTTGTTGATCTTCAGTTCCAAGAATTTCTTTACCCTTGTTATTAACTTCCTCAAAATCTTCTTCGTGATCAGAACTTTTTTAATCAGAAAAATTATCGGTTCGTTAGAACTTTCGAAGAAAACTACGTAAACCAGTCCACACAAATATTCTATCAGGAAAAGGGGATGCACATTTTAAAAATTAAAAATTGAGATTTGTATATACCAAAAATTCTTTCGATAACATTCTTCAAAAAAACATGATGATGGTTAAACAACTCTTTTTCATTTTATGGAATAGAATCTCTAGAAAACTCTTGTAGACCAAAATTTTTATGAGAGTTTTTTGGTAAATTTTTATATTAATACGTAAAACTAGGCTAGAGATGGTTGGTTAATACAATTATATGTTGTACTACTACGTACACGTTAAGATAACATAGAGATGGTGAAACATGATGGTTGTCTCACACTTTCATATCAGTATTTTCTTATACTTATTAGGGAAACATGAACAATATGTATGTAAAACTTGGGGCAGAAAAAAAATATTAAGAAAACAAATAATACATATCTATCAAAATAACAAGGTTCAACTCAATATTTGCTTCTTTGTATTTTTAACTCATAAATCCACACAAATCTAATTTTAAATCAAATCCTTAAGTAAATCATTATTATTGAATAACACCTGATTTTAAAATCTTTTTAAAAATCATAGAACCAATACCAGTGAATTTGAATATAGATTTTAAAATCATAGAACCAATAACAATGAGTTTGAATATAGATTTTAAAATCATAGAACCAATAACACTATATTTGATTTGTATTTTTAAATCCACTAAAATATACAAACCAATAACACCCTCTAAAAGCAAAATAGATTAAAATAATATTATCAAATTTTGGTAAGTTAAGAAAGGGTCCTTAATTAAGGAGATTAAGGATTTGATCCTTAATACGTGGCAACTTATTCAAGCCTCTCGCTCTCATCTCTATCATTCTCTCCTCTCCCAATCCCTCTCTCTCGCCTTCGATATGTAGTTACGGTGGATCCTTTTCTGGTCGAAGCTTTGCAGAACCCTCAGCATCGTCTCACGAGTAAGCTTCCTTCTCTGATTCATCTCACAAAACCTAATCTGATCATAAGAAAGTTTGGATTTTTATTGCTTAAATCCATGCGATAGTAAAGACTTGTACTTTACTGTAACATTTTTCTCTGTTCCGCAATAACTAGAAAGAATCTATAGAAGCGGACGGTGCTCAATTTTATCTTTCTATAATTTTGGGTTTGTTCTGAAGATGCAAATTTTTAATAGCTGTTGTGGAAAAGGATCTGAGGGGTACGTCTTTGAGTCATTGACTATATAATTGTTAATTCTCCTTCTTTCGATTTTGAATATTTCTGGATTTTTCTTTGTTGGTTTACTGGTAAAACATGTTCTTGGTTCAGTCAGCTTTGGTGTTCCTTCGTTGATTAGGAGTTTAAAGATTTTATATCAAGTTTTGGAGCCTATTTTTTTTTCAATTCTCCATGCCTTTACTTGCTCTCTAATGGTTTTCATCTAAAGTTTGTTTCTTGCTGTTGCAAATTCGAATTCTTTGGGGAACTTCACGCAGCCACAAACAGTTTCAACTACGACAACAAACTCGAAGAAGGGCGTTTCAGCAGTGTGTATTGGGGTCAGGTTCACAAGTAAACCTCATCTCAACTCTTTAAACCCTTAACTATTAGATGCACACAACTCCTTGTTGCTTTAAAAAAAAACATGATCTTGTTGATAGCAGTCAAGAGATTAAAGTCATGGAGCAACAAAGAAGAGATAAACTTCACTCTTGAAGTCGACATTCTTTCACATATCCGTCACAAGAACTTCTTAAGTGTTCGTGGCTACTGTAATGAAGGACAAGAACGTCCCCTAGGGAAGGTATACGTCATCGATGGGATAATGGCTACCGAATTACATCAATTGCTGCAACTTGGGATCAGGCTGCCTTTGTTCTTAGTGTGCCAAGAAGGAAGCCTACCGACGAGACAAAGGAGACTCTTAGAACCTATGCTTTTCCTAGTAATCATGTCAAGGTCTGTGTGCTAGTCTCTTATTGTCTTTGCTATTATTATTTGTCTTTCCATCTTCCCCGGGTTGTAACTTGTAGACCTTTTATTTTCTCTGCAGGAAAAATGGAGCAAAAATCTTTACATTTCATCTATTTGTTATGGTCGAACTGTTTCATGAAGTTGTAGTTTTTGTTAGGAATGAAACTCTCAGTTTAGATTTTCCGTACATCCGCTCAGTGTGAAAGAACAACCCTTGTATTATTTTAGCAAGGATGAATGAAAGATGTACTTTGAACAGTGCTGTTATGTAGTGTATCGGCTGTTTTAAACTTCGACCATTTGTTTGAGAAAAGCTGGTTAAAACTTCTCAGTAGATATAAAATGTAGTCCAGTCTTATATTATCATCATCATGACTTCAGAAAGGAGCCAATGTCAGAGCTATAACAAAGGCTGGGAAGAATCCAGCGGATGTTGCTCATCAGAAGCTTCTAGTTTCTCTCGACGATCATCATGACTTCGCCTACTTCTATCGTCACTCGCATCTGAAGCATTTTGTGAGTTCAGTTTACTTCTTTTTCCTGTAAAATCTGATGTCACCCTTGATCTGCTCTTTTTAGCTTTGTGAATTGAACAAAGATGATATAGACTTTTAGACATACCATTGTTCTCGAGTGGTGTTGACAGGTTTGGTCGTAGGGTTGAACAAGGGACATGTTGTCATCAGACGCGAGTTGGCTCCTCGTCCTTGTTCTCGGAAAGGAGTACGTTTCTCTCTAAGCTTTACATTATTTAAACTTAGCTATTAGACTTCGTATTAGATTGTGTCACATAGTGCCAGGAACATAGTTTCTGATCTTGTTGCTGGATTCATTATCTGACGTGTTCTAAGCATACTAGATAGTCTTAAATCCAAGTCTCTTAAACTCCTGCGTAGTTTTCCATAGCTTGAGCTTATCTTATAGAATGAGAAGCTACTTTTATTATGTGTGTTTTGGATTTGAAGAGGATTTTGTCCATGACTGTTGATTATTAATTTTTTTATTTCTAAGAATTCTATAATGGATAATACTATTGAAGGAACATTTGTGATTAGAGTTCTTAACTATTCAAAAAGTTTAAATATTCAAAAAGTTTAAAATAAAATAAAATATTAATCTAATGTTAAGGACTTCAATGGTGGATAACACCATTGGAGGTGCTCTTAGGTGGCTAGACTAGCAAGTCGGATTCTTAGAACGGTTGGTTGTCTAAGTTCCGCGATTCTCTCTGTTGTAACTGTTTCTCGATCTCTTAGTTCATATCTATATCAGTAATAGTAATTTGATATAATTCATTTTCTTATCTAATATTTATCATTTAAAATAAAATTTACGTTTTCAAAAATAAATATATACTTTTAAAAATAAACTGTAAAAGAAAAAATTATTTTAAAGAACAATATTCATATTTTAAAATATAACTAGTTGGACTAGTCCGACCGGACGGGTATTTATTTCATTTTTTATATAAATGAATATTATTTAAATGTGTATCCGTTAATATTTTTAAATATTTATTATCTTTCTAAATTTTTATAAACACAAGAATCGAATAGTTTATGTGCTGTAAAAAAAGTGATTCGTGTCCATTATTAAACTTTTGAAAAATTAATATTGACTTATTGATAGTTTGAAAAATATTTCTTGTAACATGAAATTGTTTGCCAAATGTAAAAAGAATTTAAATATTTTGATCAGATATGGATAATACGGTAAGATTTAGATACCTTATAAAAAAGAATATTTGGTTATAAACATTAAACATTGTTTTACAAGTAATTCAATATTTCAATTTCAGTATTAAAATTGTTGAAAATAATTAATAGCAACCAAAATGGTAAAACATATATTTTAGAAATTCTTGAAAAATATATAATCTTAGGTAATTTAATTATATTAAAATAATATTCAGTTACAAATAGTTCATGTTGTTTATAAGTAGTTTAAATATATTTAAAATCTTATTGTTCAAAATAATTAATGCTAAGTTAAACATATATTTTAGGAATATTCATAATATTTTTTTTAATTTCGAATTTAAACTTGAATTTTGTTCAAAATAATTAATGGTAACGTTATACAAATTTAATATTGTCAAAATCGATTTTAAATATGAATATTCCTAAAAATCAGCTAGTTTATTTTATGGAATATATTAAACCCGAAAATTAAGTTAAAATTGATTTGGGAAATTGTTTAATAAATAAGAAAAGACAATGATTACTTACATATAAGTTCATTTAATTACTTTAGTGGCATGTTATTGTAAATAAAAATAAAAACTAAGGGATATTTTATATGGGTACTTATCTTTTGATAATATAGATGAAATACATATAATTAAATATGAGTCATTATTCTCATAAAATATAAATATTAATATATAGATTTATTATAAATATAAACATATCTATATATACCAGAAAAAAAAAGAGACTATCTGATGTAATTATATATGCAATACAAATATTTTGAGAAATATTATATTATGCATTTAAAGGACTGTATTATTTGATGTTGTATCCCGTTTTTTTTAATCCAGACAATATAGAGTAAATCCGGATACAAAATCTAAAAGCATGCATCAAGATATGTGTGCAATTAGTTATATGTTTTAAAACCAGGTATATATTAAGATATATTTAAATTGTAGGATTGAGATGATATCTGATAAATCACTAAAGTTAGATATTAATAACCAGGAAAGCTGTGGATTGAGATGAATTAAATACAAATGCAAAATTAGAAGATACTTTTAAGAAAAGCAGTAACGAAAGCTGAGTTAAAGAACATGCACATGGGTAACTAATAATAACTAGTTTTCATAAGAAATACGATGATTGTCGTCGCAATTATAGATCCTCCCATGAAAAAAACAACAAAATGGTGAATCATCTAATTACCACCGGATATTAAGGTAATTAGTGACTGATGTTCGTTATAACTAAATAAGTAGAAAAGTTATCGAATATGATAAGGTTAACATGTATGTTTGCAAAAATGAAATTCGCTTGTATTCAGTGAAATATTCTAGTGTAAACTACCTTTAAAAAAATATTTTAACATAGAACCATATATGACATTAAAATTTGGATAATTTAGTCAACAACCGGTTTTAGATAATGTGTTAAAATATTTAAATAATGACTCAAAAATTGCAGTCAACACTTGGTGTAACACAAACAAATATGAAATTGTATATCCAGTTTACTGAATTAATAACGGGCTTCAATCGAAAGTATATATTGTTGTGAACTGGTAGGTTTATATCTAAACAAATGATTTCTCATTATAGTAAGAATCTTTATAAAACAACTAAGAATGATTACATTTAGATTAGATGTCATTTTTAGATTTAGCCACTTAAATTAGTGAGCACTAGAATTATATTGCACCATATCGAATAAGGTAATTTTACATTGCATATTCTCAGAAGAAGTATCAAATCCCTTATATATTAAAAGAGAAACATTTAAAAAATTGTAACCTCAATTTTGTAATAATTAAAAAAGACTAGATAGTCAATTACATTCAATTGAAAAATAACTAGGTCCACATTCGATTTTTATATGTCGCTAGATACATTCGTTGGTCAAATTATATGATATGATAATATGATATGATATTTATGATAGAAAAATTTATGATTGTTCTCCTAGATATAATTACTATTTTATTTTCTTTCCATAAATAAAACCTACAGAATTACCATAAATGACTAATATATATATATATATGACACTTAATGATTCTAATAATAAATATTTGATAACAGTTTATATATCCACTATCATTTTTCTTTAATTTTATATTATTAAAATAAATTAAAAAATCAAATTAGCTATAAAATTAAATTTTAGATTTTTTCGTATAGGTTATATTTTGAATTTAAAAAAACGAGAATAAATAACTAAACTATTAAAATTATTATGTTAAAAATTAATGATCAATAGTTTAACATTTTTATTATAAAAAGATATACATGATTTTAAAACCATATAAGTAAAAAGTATCATTCAATAATAAAACAAATATATATACAGATTCAACTATATACCATATAAGATTACATAAATATTTTAATTTCAAAATTTTCAAGAACATTTATAAATTATAAACTTAATAAATTTTTCACATTGAAAATTTTTGTTATCAATGGTTTAAATATCTTAGTTCTTTTTTTAATTTTATATTTTTAAAAGATATTAACAATCGGTAATAGGGTTATTTTTGGTATATACCATACAAACCGAATGAATGTGATTTTATAAAAACTATAGGATTTGGATATGGTTTGATTTATAACCGATTAAACTGAAACATGTAAATATGTATATATTTATAATGACGCATGAATATCTATTTGTTACATGAGTTGAACTATAATTATAATTTGTAAATAGCTAACAATTTATTACAACTGAGACTTTTTATTTTGATCTTTTGCTTTTTTAACAGTAACTAAATTGAAGTAAAGATTATAAATTTGATGGACAACAATTGGTTGAAATTCTTTACAACTTTTTTTTATCTTTAAACAAACAGAGTTGTGTTCAATCGAAGACATATTGGTTTGATGAACACTAAATATGGAAGAATATAAAAACTTTTCTTTCATGCTTCTGTTTTGTTTTTATTTTCAAAATTTAGTGTTTTGATATTAATTCTAGATTTGATCATTTTATTAGATGATATAAGCTTTTTTTGTTTTTTATTCTTTTATTTAAATATATAATATTTTTTTAATAAATGACTCTATGAAAATATGACTCTAAATATGATCATATTATATATTTTTATAATATATAATATGATCTCAAACTAAATAATTATGTTTTTTTGTATAAAATTGAATAAACTGAAAACCGATAGTATATAAATCAAATCAAACTGAAGTACATATAGATTAAGAATAGTAGTTATATTTTAATAATCGAAATACCAAAAAATCGAGCCGAACCGAAACCCGATATCTGGATTGAACACCTCTAATCCTAATGAAACCGAACTATTGTTTCATTTTTCAAAACATAATAAATAATAGTTTCATCCCGTGCAAGGCGCTGATCTTATCCTAATTTATGTACTATTTACAAGTCATGTTGTACCATGTCATTAATTATTTAATTTGACATATTTGATTGCTACATTAACCAGTTAAATATATATTATTTTCAAAATATCTTAACAATTAACAAGGATATAATAACCAATAAATTTAAATATAACAAAATCTGTTGAAAAGTTCTAACAAGATCTTACCAAAAAATTTAAATATTTTTTTTAAATAAATATTTCTGTATTTACTTATTAGATGTAATCTATACTATTAAAACACAAGGCCTTTTTTTGAGGTGCCCTTGGTTTTCAATAGTAATTACAAATTCATGCCACTGAATTATTTTTAGGCTATGCTTTTGATTAAATATTTTCTTTTCTATTTTCGTAAATTTAAGTTATTTTGTGATCAAGTATTTAGTGGATATACACGATTATTCTACGTTATATTCGCGATACAAACATAATTTTGATACTCCAAGAACTGT